GTCTTGGACGCGCGGTCCCGCGAGCACCCGCGCTGCCCGCGCTCGCGGCGCCTGCGCCGTAGGGTGGGCGCAGTTGGCGTCTGGGGGCCCGGCCCCAGAATGCGGTCGGGGCCCGGGGTCCGCGGTTTCCTAACCAGCCCGGGGGACCAGGCGGCCTCCGGGGCTCTTCGGCGCCCCGTGCGCGGCGCCGGCGCCCCTGGAGACGATTTCGTCCCCCTCACCTGAGAGCCCGAGACCGCCGGAAGTGCAGAGACCACCGGGGTCTCGCCGTCCCTTTCCCACTTGACTCCAGTCCATTCGCGGACCAGGGATGAGAAACGGGCCCTCTGGGCTCGGGCAGTCCCCGCCGGGCCCTGGGCGCGAAGCTGCCTCCCGGGAGCCGCTAATCCAGAGGCTTTCCTGGCAGACTTGATCAGACATCTCATTATTTCACAGGCGCCACGTGCCGTACGTCTTTCCCTCCTCGTGTGGGGAACGGACGCCGAACTTTCCCGCCGCCGCCGCCGCCAAGTTTTGGAACGGGGGTCGGGAGAGAAAGCCGCGACCGCAGACCACTCGCACGGCCCCTCCTTGTTAGGCCGGACTCATGCCGGTACCAGGGCGGCCCCGTAGGGGTCAGAATAGAACTGTGCTCCGAGGGGACTTCGGGGCTGACTGCTCAGGCGTCCATCACCACGTCTTTCTGCCAAGGTCGCCGACCTTTCCGTTTGCACCACTCCTGTAAACTGGTTGCCCTTGAACTGCCTCACAGTGACCCCACACACCCCCATAACGTACTCCACGGATGGCTGGTTTTTCTGAAGTAGATAACAGGCCCTTCTTCCCAGGTCCCTCTAGGTAGAAACTGGAACTTCCATTGAGATGTTACGAATGCAGGCCTTGGTGGAGACCCAGAAAATTGCACCGCGATTTCCCCAGTTGATCGAGTTCTTTTGTGCATGGGACTTAATTGACAGTGACCAATGACTTCCGCTTGGAGTCTGCACAGGGCTTGTCCTGGGCATCAGGTACTAAGCTCCTCGGGAACAGGGATTGTGATGGCTCATTGCGGGGTCAGTGGAAGTACTATCCAGAACGGTACACACACAAAAAAAACAGTTTAAGCCGGTGTGCTTTTTGTTATATATTGATAAAGACTTTATGACAATAAAATTAAGTGGAAAGATTCTCCCTCTTGGTATGCTAATTCCAGAAGTTAGTCCTCCGCGGAGGGGGGGGGGCTTGCATTTTAATGAGGGCCCTTGGGGAGTCTTGAGAGCAATCAAGTTATTTTGCAATTCTTTCTGGAAAGCTCCTGAGACCCAGAGGCAAGGAAACCCTCCAGGGACTGGGACCAGATGTGCATCCGGGGCACTATGAAGGTCACATCTTGGACCTCAGGGGAGAGGGCAATTGGGACCCTCACGAGTGACCTGGGGAAAAGATGGTAAGAAGGGAGGCGAAGTAGAAGACCCTCCTCAGTGTTTCCAACCGTGTTGACACCGAGTGCTGGGCCCTTAGAGAAGAGGTTGCACAGACTAAGTGGGCAGGGCCCAGTGGCCAGCTCCTTGTCGCAAAGTGAGCGGTCCAAAACCAGCTGCTCTGCTGAAGGAAGATGAAGCTCTCTACTCCCATCAGGATTTACAGAAACTCACATGGGCAGCTCTGTTCTGCCAAGAGGACAGGGTGGCCAAGAGGACACAGCGACTGTGAGCTCCCATTTTTTTGGCTTGGGGCTCTTTGTCTTTCAGATCTGTTTGTAAACCTCCCTCCCCTTCCCCTCAGCCTCCCATTTGACTGGGTTGTGTTGTCAGCCAACTCACTGGACCCAAGCACAATGGAATAAGATGTGCCATTCCCATGACCTGGACCCAGCATAGACCCCCCAGCCACAAGGGCCGCCCGCAACTCACTATGGTACCACCCTGATTGAGTCCTCTTAATCACCACCTACAGGAGCCCTGGTGGCTTACGGTTATGAGTTGGTCCTTGTGTTAGGCCAGGCTGACTAGAGAAGTCCAGAGACTCTCCTGTAAGAAAGAGCTTTATGTCAAAAAGCTTTATATATCAGGGAAACAGCCCAGCCCAGTCAAACCTAAGTCGGTAATCTCCTCTTCAGACTCACACAGTCACATGCAATGATGCAGAAGGCAGAGTGATCACAGGCTGGTGGGTGCAAAGTCTTGTGAATCCCATGGCGGTGGATGCCACCTCCAGGGCTCTGGCAGGTCTCAAAATAGCTGTCAGCAGGAAGGTGAAGGCAGTGAGAGGGGTGGGGAGGTTCCCAGGGCCCTCCTTATGAGAAGGCCATGCCCACAAGGAGACACCATCAGGCTGTGACCTGATTGACAGGCTGAATACCATCCCTATACTCTTATCAAGTTGAAATGAAATCATGTAACTATTACAGGCTGCTAACTGCACAGTCAGCAGTTTGATACCACCAGCAGCTGCACAGGAGAACGAAGCTTTCTACTCTAAGGAGTTGGTCTCAGAAACCCACAAAGGTAGTCTTCCCTGCCCTGTAGGGTCACTAAGTCGGAACCAATTCAATGGCAATTGGTGAGAGGTTTGAATCAGCACCTGGTATATTTGTTGTCTGCTGTATGCCTGGCACACAAAGATGTTGAGGTTTGCTCGCCATGAGGTTTTGACAACTGAACGATACAGAATAGGACCTTCAGAGGTGCAGCCCCAGCTCAATGTGAAAGGTCACCGGAAGCAGAGGCAGAATCTGAGTCCAGGATGGTGGGGCCACTGAACATGGACAGAAGCTCGTTGATTATCCATGTTCAAGAGATGTAACTGGCTGCTCTGCCAGGACAAGCAACTTTGGTGTTAACAGCATTGTCCCGTCAAGCCCTAGAGGCTTTTTACATTCTAACAGTTGGCTTTGTTCAAGTTCTTAAAAGAAACTGTAAATCCCAATTTACCCTAAATGCACCTACTCAATTATAAAGGATTCTCTTTGGTACTGATTCTTAGAAACATGTATTTGTGAGTAAAAAGATTTAAGTTTGACACACACACACACACACACACACAAAATGTTGAGGTTTGTTAAATACAAGTAGTCCCATAGTTACAATGGCCTTCTGCTCAGAGAACTACTCTGATAGAAGTCAGTTCTGACATAAGTTGAATACTGCCCCCCCCCATTATTACTGGCCTTTTATTATCAGTTATGTTTATAAACCTGATCTTTATATGTGGTTGGGGCTTACATTACACCTGAGAACAATAATATTAGCAAAGTACATGTGGCTGCAGCATTTTATGGAGTACATCCCAGTAACAATAAGCTATAACAAACCGTAACAAAGAGCTGACCAGTGCTAAGTGCAGGCTGTCATGGCTTGACTGGGTCTTAAGTCAGGGACCAGTATTCAGGTAGGATAAGCAGCAGCAGAGAGCCAGTATAGCTTAGGGTACCAGTGTGTTGCTTAGAGTCCCACAGCCCAACATAGAACATATATGAGTACTTAGTACTTACATATTTAAAAAGAACAAAAGCTAGTACCATTGCTTTGGGAGTGGGCACCAAAACGCCGACTCACAGTAACCGGATAGGACCAAGTAAAACTGTCCTGTGAATTTCCAAGAATTTCGGCAGTTCAAACCACCAGCCGCTCTGCGGGAGAACGACAGGGCTTTCTACTGCTCTCAGGATTCATGGACAGTTCTGCCCTGTCCTGTCCAGTGACTAGGAGTCAGAATCCGAGGAATGGCAGTGAGTTCTTCCTAGTGACGAGTGAAAGTCCGGCCCTCAGACAGAGTGTGTTTGACCGTGGAGTGGACGTACCTGTGTGCCCTTGGTGGAAATGGGGTCCTACGGTCGCCGAGTCGTGAATCCTACCCTGTCTGGGTCAGAGGGCCCTGGACCAACCTTGAACATGTCTCTTGTTGGGAATCACGTATTTATCCCCATTCTGGCCCTCTACAGGAGTGGAAAGCTTCATCACCCTCCCCCAAAGCAGCTAGTGGTTTTGAACTGCTAACCTTTCTTTTAAAAAAAACAAACCATTTTATTGGGGACTGGTACAGCTCTTATCACAATCCATTACATCCACCCATTGTGTCAAGCACCTTTCTACATAGGTTGCCATTATCATTTTCAAAGCATTTTCTTTCTACTTGAGCCCTTGGTGTCAGCTCCTCATTTTTCCCCCTCCCAGGGCTCTTTTTAGGGGAAAAAGGAGGCCCCAAATTCAAATATAATTTAGAGAGACCCATTTATTACTGTAAGTCTTTGGAGAAAGACACAGCAGCCGACGAGGCCTTCCTGGTGGCCAAGAATCCCAGCCGCACAGCCACGTAAACGGGACATGGAGAAGAATGGAAACTGTCACAAAACCACAAAGGGAGGCAGAGCTGCAGACAGGTGGGAAAGGGCCAGAATGGGGATAAATACATGATTCCCAACAAGAGACATGTTCAAGGTTGGTCCAGGGCCCTCTGACCCAGACAGGGTAGGACTCACGACTCGGCGACCGTAGGACCCCATTTCCACCAAGGGCACACAGGTACGTCCACTCCACGGTCAAACACACTCTGTCTGAGGGCCGGACTTTCACTCGTCACTAGGAAGAACTCACTGCCATTCCTCGGATTCTGACTCCTAGTCACTGGACAGGACAGGGCAGAACTGTCCATGTATCCTGACAGCAGTAGAAAGCCCCGTCGTTCTCCCGCAGAGCGGCTGGTGGTTTGAACTGCTGACCTTGCAGTTGGCAGCCCAAGCTAAAACCCACTACCGCAGCGGGGCTCCTCAGAGACACCCACACAC